TTCATCGAATGACAGCACTACTGAATGGTCTCTTGAAATGAGATTTTTTGCAACATTTTCTAGTCCTGCTATAATACTTGATTCTAATTGTTCTCTATACCCTGCAACAAGCTTTTTATTGTCTATTAGAATATCTTGTAAATCTATAGAATGCAAAGAAGACGCTGTTAGAATTGACATGATCCAACCTTCATGAGAAAGCCCCTTTTTGGATAACAATTTTTCAGAATTTACAAGGTATGCATTTTTACTACCTTTCAAATTCCCAATGCCTGATATTAGTTCAAATTTTTTATTACTTAAAGCATTACTGGCTTTTATCGAATTAATTTTTACTTGCATCAATAGATCAGCTGGTGATCTAGACCATGCCATCCTTTCGCATCTGATAGGTGAACTTAACAGTTTAGCAAATATATTTTTCTCTAAACCAAAATCTGAGATTCCAGATCTAAGCAATGCCAGTTCATTTTCGAATAACAATTTCTTTCTCTTATCAGACCATTTTTCAAAATTAGTTAATAAAGGTGAACTTTTTCTATTGGTTTTCAATTTTGGAACAACTTTATCAACAAAAATATCATTTAGTAGCTTCCTCTTATTAGACATACTGCTACTGAGTCAGTAAATATTTTAGAAGAGTTGACTATTGTTATAGGTATTACTTCTATCTACATTAATACTTAAACAGATTCAACTTAAACCTTTTTTTGATGTAAAATATGTAATGACGAAAAAGGAAACAGTAAACAAGCGAATGATTTCGAGATGTACAATAATAAAAATTTATGGTTGATTAACATCTATTATATCTTCATTAGAAAATTTGAACTCAAAATTATAAATGAAGAATGAATAAATGGGCTAAATACATTAAAACAATACAATAGAATATTTACTTTAGTTCATATTTGAAAAGAGCCTAGCGATACAGTCAGCATCATCTAGGATCCAACAATTTCTTTACATAAAAGGTTCATTAATTATTCGAAAACGTTAGTGATATCAAAATTAGTCAATTATTTATGTTAATATTATTAATTTTTTTTACTTTTTATTTGACAGCAATGCTTCCATTAACAGGGTCTTCACCACTTGAAACCGGTCTCATCATTGGTAGGTTATTACCTTGTTGTCCAGCACAAACTGAGTTTCATGCAGTTTTAGTCATGGTGTTGTCTAGATAGTTAGAAGCAACACTTCCTCTTCTTTCACCAATAGTGACTAAGTTCCCTCCTTCATCAAAGGCAGAGGCAAATGCTTTTGATTTGGCCGTACCTGCCATATCCAAACTCATTGTTTGTGCAACTGGATCCATGTCACTATAATTGGTAGTAGTTGGACCAATGTTAGTTGTAGTTTGTGATAGATCTGGCTTACCATTCTTAAGCTTGGTTTGGTCTCTGTGTAGGATTCTTTCGTTGATAAATTTCTTTCTTTCAGAAGTGTTTGAAAAAGAGGCCAAATGCTTGATTTCTTGAACCCACTTTCTGAATTGTTTGGCATCTTCAACAGAATTGTCACCACTTGGTAAAGTAAATGTGAAAATGAATTCACCCTTACCACCTGTAGACTTGACCTTTGACAAGTAAGCTTGTTGTTCTTTAGTAATTTGTTGTACTGGAGGTTGGACAACTTGTGGAGCCATTGGCTTGGAAGTAGTGCCACCGTTGGAGAAGATCTTACCCAATTTCGAACCTCTTCTTTCCTTTGATGGATCTGAAGCAGAACCATTGCTTCCTGCTGAGGAAGGTGGAGTGATGTTGTTGCTTGGTCTTTCACCATCTGTGTTGAACAATGGCTTACCCTTTAGGACAAACTTATCTTCAGTAGCTTCCACCAATTCACATTTGTTCAAGTTCAAACTGAAGGTTGGAATCAAACTTGCTCTCTTTGACAATGGACCAGGGTGATGAGCATTACCAGCACCCAACTTGAAAAAGTCTGCGTTCTTGAATTGATGTAAGAAATTTGAAGTTAAAACGAAGTAACCATTCTTTTCTGTTGACAAATCAGAGCTCTTGTTTAGGTAACCAGCTCTAATACATTTAGCTAAAGATGATTTCATTTCTGGGTATACGATATCTGCCAATTTTCTTGTTGGAGGGTTTGGCTCAGTGGATCTCCAATCCATCAAGGCAGTTGGATGGTGAGCAACAAAATGATCCCATTCGATAGCAGGTGGTCTTGAGATAAGACCTTGATATAGTTCATTACATAAGTTTTTGATCATTGATCTAGCTTCGCTATCGATCAATTGAGAGTAACGTTGCAAAGATGATTGAATTCTAGAGTAAACAATTTTTTCTAGCTGCATACCTGATGATTGCAAGTTAACAAATGCTTCTCTCAAATAGTTTTCTTCTACCAATTGACGTTTCATTTGTAATTCTAATTGCAACTTTAACAAGTAAGGGTCACATTTTGGCTTTGAAGTTTGGAAAGGGTCGACTGGACAAGCTTCATCATTCAATACCTTGACAGCGGTGACGTACTTGTTGTACAAAACAGAAGTAGTTTCAACATGTTGACCCAAGTTGGTGTGGAAATCACCACCTAAATCTTTAATTTCACGGATCTTGATACTCAAGTCCTTACGTAATTCTTCCAACTTAGGGATGATGGCGTTTAGAATATCCTTAGAGATCTTGAATTGGTGAGAAGCCAACGACAAGTGGTACTTCTTCAAGATAACTTGAACGTCTTGGACGGAACCTGAACCGAATTTCATGTAACCAGATGCAGCGGAGGACAAATCATGAACTGGCAACATATCTTCATCATCAGTTTGAGAACCTGAAGATTGTAATTGGGCGTGTAATTCAGCTTGGGCGACCTTTGAATTTTTTTCAGCCAAAGTGGAAGGTTGACTCTTCTTAGTTGGGATATTTGAAGTTAATGGGTCAAAAATACGGTTTGAACCCTCTTCCAAATCAGTTAAGAATTGGAATTTCACGTTTCCTTTCAACTTGTTGTTAATTCTGGCGAATTGTTCTTGAGCGTAAGCTACTTCTCTGAAGTAAGCAATCAAGCTCTTCAAGATCTTACGCCATTTCTCAAATCTGTCAACAAGTAAGTCAGTAGGGAACTCTTTGACAAAACGAACATGGACTGAATCCGAGCCTTCACCTGGGGTGACGACACCAGGAGAGTTCATGGCACTGTGGCCACCTAGTTGTAAAGGAATTGGAACGGAAGGTTCCCAAGGTAAAGATTGGGAACCTGATCTTGAACCACGTCTTGAAGTGGAAGAAGCTGAATTTTTTCTTGACATACTGTTGGAAGGGATCTTTTCCAAAGGAGGGATACCTTCCAAGTATTCTGTATGAATTTCTGGGGTGACGGCAGAATCTGAACCGCTTGCATCACCACTACTGAGAGCTCTTTGCAAGCTGAAGTAGTCTGTCATTGTTTGATAATATTATGAAAGCGATGATGTAGGGAGAGATGTGATTTAGCTTATTTAGATATTTTGTTAGGTTTTTGCTATTGCTTTTGCTTTTGCTTTTGCTATTGCGTTTGTGGACGGCGAGGGTTATATATAAATTTCCAATAGATATATGATGGTTCTTTTTAATGTAGGACACAAAAAAATCAAAAACACCAAATAAAGTAGGAATCCGTATTTGTGTAACACCTGGTGTGAACTATAGTTTACGATGTGTTTTTATTTATAATAAAGAGAGATAGAGACACAAAAAATAAAACACAGACTAGAGTTCAAAAGGAAAAGGGTGCTTGGAAATTGAAGAAACTATAAAGAAAGCAAAAAAAAAATTATCTCAAACCACAAAGTTTAATCTGTGTGCTTAAATATAAAATCTCGAAACTGGAAAACGACAATGAATTGAAAACATACATTCGGATAATCGTGATGATATAACCAAACGATCAGAATGATTCCTACAATGATACTCTAGATGAGCCCGATCCTTCACTTCTTCCCTCTGACAATAACACCTACGAAAACCCTCGTACTCTCGAACTCCCTCCCCTCCCCCCTCCCCCTTCGAAAGACCATTTAGGTTGAAATTGAAGTTGAAATTGAAGTCCAAGTCCAAGTCCAAATTCCAAAGTCCCCAGTTCGAGTTCAAGCCCAAACCCAAGTTCGAGTTCGAATTCGAATTCAAACTTAAATTTTCAGTTAGAAGTTGATGGTGGGCATAATACCAGAGAGGATACCCCTCCCCATAAAATACATTACCATAAGAGGATACTAAAAGAAATGACAGTACCCCGGATTAGTGAAGACGAAAAGATGACATTGAAGAAAAAGGGAAGGAAGCCACCGAGCGATAGAGAAAGAAAGAAAGAAAGAAAGAAAAAGACAGAGAGGTGCTGGTGCATCAGAAAGTGTATATATCACATGAATGTGGTTAGCATCCTTCCAGGGTACGGACAAGGGAGAGACTGGTGAGAGAAGACAGCGGTGGCAGCAACAGCAGTGCCGAATTTTCATGAATCTCGAATTTCGAATTTCGATTATTTCAAAGTTTCAAACTTTTGTGTTTGGCCTGTAAAACTCAAGTAATGAATGGATAAGAGCGAAAACTTAAAGTAACAATAATAATAATAGTGATGATGATGATACGGATACAGAGAGAAGCAAAAGCAAAAGCAAAAGCAAAGGCATGAGCAAAGGCAAGAGCAGAAGTACAAGGTAATATTAGTTATTATCGGTTTTGGAGGATTCTTTTGTCGGGGGGCCGATTTGGGAGAGCGAGAGAGGAGGGGGCGGGAGGGATGGTGGTGGATATTATAATACGGACTGTTGTGAAAGTGCCGGAGGATAGGAGATAAGTCCGAATGCGGAGTGGGGCCGATGCCCGGATTGGACGAAGAGCGGTGATTGGTCGAAATGGAAATTTCTTGATTTTATTTTTGTCTCTGCTTCGTTTTTCTTTCTTTGCGGCAGGGAGGGGGGCGGGATGCGGGATGGAATGGGACGTGCTGACAGGGAGAGGCCGAGGGAGGTGATGCAGGCGTCAAGAGTGATGGCGACAGCGACAGAGACAGAAAGGGAGAATTGATGAGTGGAATGAATAAATGAGTTCAAGCTGACCGAATACGGTAATTTGACGTGGGGAAGGGAGACAAAAGCTTATGGCGAGAGGCTGTTCCATTCCATCACACCAGGTTTTCTTTCTTTTTTCTTTTTGTTTGTTTGCTTTTCACTTTCACTCTTACTTTTGTCTATCTTGCCTGTGTGTATTTTGGTTTTGCATACTGTCATTTCTCTGAAATTTGTTTTTATTTCGAGATGAGATGAGATAGGTTGGGTTTACAGAACTTTATTGAAGAGCAAGGGAAAACATAAACAAAAGTAAAACTAACAGTAAAAGTAAACGCAAAAGGAATAGGAAAACCAAATTCAAAAGTAGAAATGAAAGTGAAAAGGAACAAAGACGGGTGGGGCTGATTACACGTGTCAGAAGAAAGGGAGTTTGAAGGTTAGTCAGTTTTAACCAACCTATGCTTGTCTTTTATGTTTATGTTTATATTTATCTTTGTCTCTTTAGGGAGGGGAATTAACTAAAATGACCCAGTCGATATATTTATTGCATTGCATGTAATTTACTTATCCTAATTCTATTTACTGTTTACTATTCACTTATTCGCTACTCACTATTCGCAATTCACTATCCATTTAACTTCTGTTTAGGTCAACACCCTCATAAGGTTTTCATAAACCCATAAATTTATTGCCGTATTGGGTACACTCTTCAATAATCCCAATCCAATTCCTCGAAATAGTACTTTCACCCCCTCGTCCCGCACGATCTGAACACATAGAGTAATTGCACTTCTTTGCATATGTTTTCCGATGTAGCCGTTATTCGTCATCTGTCCAAGCTCCGACGAAGTACGGATTTGTAACCGACGTCGAATGGTGTCTAACGGAAAGGTTATAGTACGAGATATCACCCCACTGATAGCGCCTGCGGTACCAGCATTGGTCTCTGGCCACCTTGCACGGATCCCTTCATACGTCCCGAACATCGCTGCGGTTGATACCGTCACATTGGCCATAGAAGTGGCTACACCATGGAAAAATCCGCCAAGACCTTCGCGAATATAAATGCGTTCTATATGCTGATAGAGGCCACGCCCACTGCGACCTGTCGTCGCTGTCGTCGTAGTCGTCGTCGTCGTCGCCAGCCTTGTTCGCAGTACATCAAATGGATATGAACATAATGAACTAGCCATACCTGTGATAGCACCCGCGAGTGTACTATGAATTGTTGGCGGTACATCGCACACTTTTAGTAACGCTGCGTTAGTATACGAATATGTACCAAATTGAACACTACCATATATAATATACATAATACTACCCGCTAAATTTCCCTTCCATAGCGCAAGGAGACCTTCGTGACGAATAAGAGACTTCAGCGTATGAGGTAGCGTATCTGTACCCAATTGCAATCTTAATTTTAAAGTGTCTAATGGTGCTATCGCACTTCGTGCTGCAAGACCCGCAATCGCTCCCGATACTAGAGATTCAAACACATGAGATTTTTCTCCTTTTCTCAAGTGATCTTCTTCTCTCATCGATATTTTCACTATAGTAAGTGATAAGTATATACACTTTTAATGTTTTTCACTCTTTGTAAATATGACATATGAGGAAACTTGAAATTTTGGGACCTCATTGATTAACGCTATCACAGCTCTTTTATATACCATCAACCGAAACCGGTCGCTTATTCTTATTACGGAAAACGAGTTCATTAAAAATGAAGTTATAGGATAACTTGCGAGGAAAAAGGCAAAAATTTTCATGCACAATTAAGTCACGTGAAAATCATCATTTTCCAAAAAAAAACAGAAGTTTACCGTCAGTATTGATATAGAAGTGTCACACTGGATTAATTTATAGATTTGAGAAGATACAACATCAAGCACTTGCAGAAACGTTTAGGTTTCGAATCTTGGAATTTAATTAATTGGAATACAGATGTTAGTGTATACCTGTTGTTCATCATAAATGTTTAACAATAGTATATCTTTACTTAATCTTCGGTTTCTTTGTTCAATTAAAATCTACTTCCCATAATGCATGACCAGTTTTAGCATTAATATATTAGTTATTCATTTCTAATACCTTACCATGTGGTTTTGATATATTACCATATACACATGCTTAATATATATTGGTCTTAATAAACATTCAATTATCCAACAAACATATTAAACAAATATTGTTGGATATGCAGCGGGTGCATATCCAACAATATCAATGAACTCTGTCATCTTGCAAAAACCTTTTGGTTCGAAATTAAATAAAAATTGAAAACTATATAAGAAGGCAAGAATTTTGGTAAATGAGTTTTAAGAATTTAGAAGTTCTTATTATATCTAGATACATAAAAGAAAACCATCAAAAACAAAGTCAAAATGAACTGCAAAATTAGTTACGAAGAAGGTCAACAAAGCTACATTAATGCCCGAAATGAAATTAAACAACTTTTAGTTGTTAAATCTGGTGCTAGCATTGATTTGATTATTCATATGGCAATGTATATCGCCGGGACCAAACCGATTGGTTTAAATACCAGAGTTAATTTTGGCCACTCCAAAGTCTCTAGTGTCAGGGACTTGGCTGATGTTTCTGAGGCCAATTGGTCCTATATTGTAACCTTAGTCAGAAAAATGGTCAAAAAAAATGGCTTATATTGTACAACTTCTTAATAAAAAAAAATTTTTTTTTGAAACCATTAACATCATATCTTCACCTATCATAGTTATTATTTCTATTTCATTATATAGTAGTATATAGTAGTTTATATTCTAACTTATGACACTTCTTTATATTCATTATCATCTAAAAATTTTTTTTCTGTTTTTAACTTTATTTTTATGGTCTGCCTACCCTGGCAATAACAGTAGGAACATGGTATTCTTTTGAATTTTTAAGCGTATTCAAAACAGAGTTGTTTGACAGGCCAAATTATAATTATATTAAAAGCCAAACTTATTTGTTGGATAATTTTAATATTATTTAAGTAATTTGAATAACCCTGAAAGGTGTCTTCAATGAAGTAAAATTTGTTTCCCCGCCAAGTTTTCCTCTGACACATTGCATAATAAGCAATTTCCATTCTTGGTTTATCCAAGACCTCCAATTGTAGTATCTTGGTATTTGATATACATTTGTTGGATTCTAATGCCTGTTTAGCTCTGGTATCCACATGGAGTTATTACTATATATGAGTTTTCTTAGTTTACATCCCAATGATCGTCGTGCATATGTCTGCATAAGAAGTGTCAGTTGCAACTGTTCGAACATATAACGCGAGTGTGTCTAAAGAACTCTGATGATGGTACATATACTGATGATATCAATAATAAAGAGTTGTGACACAATCAAACAGGACTTTTATTTTAATTATATAAACTGTTTAAAACGTGAAATTTTACAGCGTAATCAACCATATCTGTGCGATGACAGCTTAAGTAAGTATATTTTTGAAAATTGAGGTGGAAAAAAAATTTTCATCTAAAGAGGTGTCTCAGAAATTCAGTAAGAGGTATACTAAAAAGATAATATAACGTCTAATTCAAATGAAGATTGTACTCCTAGATTTATTTCCAATCAACAAATTACAGTTTTGAAGAATTACCAAAAGCGTCAAGAGGTTCTCAAATGTTTTTAATATGAAGATTATACATCTACAGCAATTCTTGGATAATACAAATAATATATATTTAATTTACATAACCCTCACCTCTTTTGATTACCTCATATATCTGTGATTTAATTACATAATAAACTTCCCAAAATCTGAATTTTATCCGAATACAAGAAAGATAACACATGGAATGATTTCTAAAAACATTTTTTTATAGGTTGTAATTTCCTCTCAACTCTTAAGAATTAAATAATCAGTCTCAATCATATTTAATACCTAATTTTTAAGTTAATTCTAATAACTACTAGCAATTTCCCATCAATTGAAAATTTATAAGAAACAAATTGACTTGAAATCATATTTAATAATTAAGCTTAAACTATTCAGATAAACAAATCCGAAAATGCACATCATCAATCCTATACAACAATCGAGATTGAGAAAAAATTAAACAACTTTTAAGGTTTTAAGGAATCTAAAATTGTATTATTACTATATCTACATATCTAATTAAATTATATTATAATTTTAATCTTTCAAGGTTGTTGATAGTGGCTTGCAAACCTTCGATTTCAGCATTGGTGTTTTCTAACTTGGTTTTGTTGGCTTCTTTAGCTTGATCATTAGCTTTTGTTTCATAATCCTTACTGTTCATGGTGTTTTCAATGTTTTGCTTATTCTTCAAAGCCTTTTCCAATTTCTTTTGAACTTTACCAACTTCAGCTTCAATATCAATATGACCTTTAACCAATAAATGAACATTGACTTGAGGGTTTACAGATTGCAAGACACAGCCTTCTGGAATACCAGAAACATCACGAACAACTGTAACTTCATCAATGGCCTTGATTAAAGAAACAATAGAATCTTTTTGTGAGGTAGCAGTTTCAAATGATTTATCGTCATTGGATTCAACGTAAACTTTACCATTCTTTAAGATGTTATATTCGGCTAGTAATGAACGAGCATCTTTAGTGATATCTAAAACTAATTCATATGCTTCAGCAGATTTGACATCATCGAATTCAGCATTGTAAACTGGATAGGAAGCTTTAACAATAGTGTCTGACTTTTCAGAAGAACGTTTTGGCAAACGTTGCCACATTTCTTCAGAAATGAATGGCATGAATGGATGGATCATCTTCAAAGCATTGTCCAATAAAATGTATAAAGTATCCTTGGCAGATTTTTGTTCAACTGGGGAACCTTCTTGAATTAAGTATTTAGAGTTTTCAATGTAAATATCACAAATCAAATACCAGAATTCATAAATAGCACTAGTGGAGGTTAAGAAATCACGATTTTCTAAAGCTTCATTGACAACCTTAGAGGTGTTAGTCAATTTAGTCAAAATCCATTTTTCAACTAAGGATTCATTACCAGATAAACCTTCATTAGCTTGTGGTTGGTAATCATCACCTAATCTCATTAAAGCAAATTTAGTAGCTTGGTAGATCTTGTTACAGAACTTTCTGTAACCTTCAACACGAAGAATATCTAAATTAATATCACGACCACCAGTAGTGTATGCACATAAGGCAAATCTCATAGCGTCGGTACCACATTGTGGAATACCGTTTGGATAAGATTCTCTTTGACCAGTCTTAGCCTTTTCAACTTCTCTTGGATCCAAGTTACCAGTCAATAACTTAGCATGTAAATCTTCCAATTTGATACCCCCGATGACATCTAATGGATCAACAACGTTACCCAAAGATTTAGACATCTTACGACCTTGAGCATCACGAACCAAAGAATGACAGAAGACTTCCTTAAATGGAATGTTACCAGTTAATTTGATACCTAACAAAATCATTCTGGAGACCCAGAAGAATAAGATATCCCAACCAGTTTCTAACATCGAGAATGGATAGAAATTTTCCATATCTTTAGTCTTGTTTGGCCAGCCCAAAGTTGAAAATGGCCATAGACCAGAAGAGAACCATGTATCTAAAACATCTTCGTCTTGTTCCAAAGTAAATTTGGCGTCTGGGAATTTAGCCTTAGCTTTAGTTTCAGCTTCTTCAACGTTTCTACCAGCAACCCAGTAGTTACCATCGATTCTATCATTTTCTTGACCTTCGATGTTAACGAAGTAAACTGGACAACGATGACCCCACCATAGTTGTCTGGAAATACACCAATCTTGAATGTTTTCTAACCAATGGAAGTATTCAGCTTCGGAAGACTTTGGTGTGATGGTGATTTCTCCATCTCTAACAGCTTTAATAGCATCCTTTGCCATGTCATTTTGGGCAACCCACCATTGAGGTTTTAATAATGGTTCGATGATATCACCGGATCTGGAACATGTTGGAATAGTCATTTCGTTGTCTTCTTGACCGACGTACAAATCTAGTTCTTGTAATTTTTGAATAACGATCTTTCTAGCATCGAATCTCTTCATACCTTGCCATTCAGGGCCACAGTTTTCATTCAACAAACCATCATCAGTGAAAATATTAATGAATTCCAAGTTATGACGTTTACCAGTGTTGTAATCGTTTTGGTCATGAGCTGGAGTGATTTTAACAGCACCAGTACCGAATTCCATGTCAACAGCTTCTTTGTCACAGACAATTGGGATTTTTCTTGGTAAGAATGGATGTTGGACGAATTTACCATGTAAGTGAGTGTAACGAGAATCGTCTGGATGAACAGCAACTGCAGTATCACCAAATAAGGTTTCAGGTCTAGTGGTTGCAACGATGATCTTTTCATTAGTTGGAGAGTCGACAACTGGGTAAGCATAAGAGGTCAATACACCAAATTCGACTTTTTCGTCATAGTTTGGAACACTCAATTGAGTTCTACCTTTAACATCTTTGTTTTCAACTTCCAAGTTGGAAATGGCAGTGTTTAATTTGACAGACCAGTTGACCAATCTGTTAGCACGGTAAATAGTACCATCGTCATGCAATCTAACAAAAGCTTCTACAACGGCATCAGTTAACTTTGGATCTAATGTGAAAGCTTCTCTACTCCAGTCATAAGAAGCACCTAATTTCATAATTTGGTTCTTAATTCTGTTGTGGTATTCTTCTTTCCATTCCCAAACCTTTGAAATGAAAGCTTCTCTACCGTAATCATGTCTAGTCTTCTTTTCCTTGGCCCAAATTTGTTTTTCGACAACAGATTGGGTAGCAATACCAGCATGATCGAAACCTGGTAACCATAAAACGGTTTTGCCCTTCATTCTGTAGTATCTAACCAAAGAATCTTGGATGGAAATAGTCAAAGCATGTCCAATGTGTAAAGCACCGGTGACATTTGGTGGTGGTGCAGGAATACAGAATAACCCTTCTGGTTTAATTTTCCCATCAGGACCGAATTCTGGTTCAAAAACACCAGTTTTAACCCACCAGTCATACCAAGAACTTTCAACATTAGCAGGGTTATAAGCTTTCAAAGCAGGATCATCCAAAGAGACTAAGACTTTCTTATCACCAGGGATAGTTTTATCGACAAATTCTGGGATTGGCTCAGCTTCCTTTTTAGAATTCTTCTTTTTAGCCTTTTTTTCAGGGTTTGAGTTAGCTGATGATGCAGCAGCAGCTTTTTTAGCTTGTTTTGCAGCAAATTTTAATAGTTTTTCAGCTTTCTTCTTTTCCTTTTCAATTTCCTTTGGAGTCTTTTCAGTACCATCTTCCTTCAAAGGATTGATGATAATTTCACCAGTTGTTGGATCAACTTGTGGTAAATTGTCTAAATCACTCATTGTAAAAAATCTTACTTGTCGACTACAATCAAACCTCGAATCTACAAATGCAGTTTTACACAACTGATCTTTTACTAATAACGACGAAAAACCAATTCGAGATTTTAAAAAGACCTGTCCTTTACAGTAAGATGAACTTAATCGAGCAGATGTCACTAGTCTAGACAAACACAACATCTACTTGAAAAGCCAAAAGTAGCATTAAAAAAGAAAACTTTTACCTTTTACTAGAAAAATATAAAATATTAGAGAAAAAAAATTTTTTTTTTTCTTTCTCTTTTATAAATATTTCTTTCAACAGCTTATAATAAAGTAATATATCTCGAAAACTATATACAATTAAACTACTAATAACACAATACAATACAATTAATTAGCAATCCATTGTTTGGCGATAAACTCTTGATCTTTCACAACTATCGTCCTCTCGATCTTTGAGTCCAGAAGAGATACAAAATAAATTTTTTTGCAATATCTTTTTCTTCTTGTCTGCCTGCCACTTGGTGATATCGAGATGTCAAGAAGGTCTCTCTCTTTGTTAGGATTGATGGTGCCAAATTGGAACTGCTGAAGTTTTTAATTTTTGATTTTGTTCAAAGTTTCGAGACCTGAAGAAAAAGAAACGTGTTCTTACTTATTTTGCAATAACTATGCTAGTCGTTTCTTTTTCCTTATATGTAACGCTCTTGAAAAACCTATTTATGATCGTACAGAATATAAATAAATTGCTTTTTTCTTTGCTTTTTCCCATGTTCTTCTGATTTTGTGTACATTAATCGTATAAAAGTATTAAGATCAGAATTCAGCACTTCCTTCCTTCCTTCATTTTTAATGTTTTTAATTTTAATTTTTTTTGTGTTTCTTAACACAGAAACACAAGGAGGGTTGCACATATGGATAAGAAACGACGGATGGGATTAACTGTCGATTACGGATGCATCTTGGGTTTTATTTTGGGCTCGAGCGAAAAGAAACGACAATGTGTTTTATTTTTTTCATTTTTGAATTTGATTGCGAATAGAAAATAAAAAAGAACAAAAAAATTTAATGAAAAATATTATTTAGCCGCCCAACTCTCGTTTTCGAAAAGGACTCTTGTTTAATTTGGCTCTTCGGGTTGGAACGTAATGTTTTTGTCGCATCGCTAGCATAGAGCATATTATTTATCATATATTCTACTACAGTTAGTGGTTGTGTGGTTTGATACATTTAGAATTGATGCTTACCTTATGGAACTGTAGATATACATGCTACATATATAGATTCTGGTTTTGTTCCCTTACCCAAAATATTAAACATCCATTTGATTGATACTAGCGAAAATACGTCAAAGTATAATATTTCCGAAATAGGAAATTTACTTCTACAACAGGAAGATTACCCGAAGCGTTATCAATATGAAAATTTTATTTCGAAAGCTCATAACCTATATCATCTCATCTCATCTCATCTCATCTCATCTCTTGAATATAAAGGTACTGTAAATTCCTAATTCATTGGTGTTTAATTTCAAGACTACATTAAGATAGGTATCAGATAATCAACCAGCTTTATAATGTCCCGTATTATTGTAAAAGGTTTGCCAGTTTATCTGACTGATGATAAACTGAAAGAACATTTCACTAAAAGATTGATTAAAAAGCATGGTAACACCACTCATTCTAATGATCTTATAACAGATGTTAAGATTCTTAAAGATAAAAACGGCCAAAGTAGAAGGTTTGCCTTTATTGGTTTTAGAAATGAAGATGATGCTTTGGATTGTATTAAATATTTTAATGGTTCTTTTGTAGATACAGCAAAAATTGAGGTATCAATGGCTAAAAGTTTTGCTGATCCAACAGTACCACAGTCAATGAAAGAGAAGAGAAGAGAAGCATACAAGAGGTTAAGAGAAAGAGAAGAAAAATTATTGGAAGAGAAAAGCAAGAAACCAAAGCCACAACAAAATAATCAAAAATCATCTATTGATGCAGAAATCGAAAAAGATAAACAGTTAAAGGAGTTTATTCAAACAATGAATCCAACTGCAAATACACCTTCCTGGGAAAATGTTTCAACTTCCAACCCATTGATCAACGAAGTAGAAGAAAATGAAAGTGAATCAGAAAATCCATTATTGGCACAGGCTCTTGCATTAAAAGATACAGAAGTTGTCAAGGATCAAGAAAGTGATGATGAATATGTTGACTTCAAGACAACTGCAGACACCGAAGGTCAGGATGAAGAGGCTAAAGAAGAAGAAATGATGTCTTTGGATAATTTCGCTGATAATGTAAATGAAGATGATGCTGATAACATTGCCCAAGATGATAAAGTATCAGATTTAGACTGGTTCAAACAACGTCGTGTTAGAATTAGAGAAGGTGAAAATGTGCCAGTGAAACAATCTCAAAGCAAATCTGCAGATGCTGAAGAACTTAACCAAGAAGAACTTAACCAAGAAGAAGCAAATGAAGATGAAAACGAAGTCGAACCAGATACAACGGAAGAAGAAAAAATTATCCAGAAGATTACTAAAACTGGTCGTCTGTTCCTTCGTAACATATTGTATAATTCCACTGAACAAGATTTTGAAAGATTATTTAGTCCATTTGGTGAATTGGAAGAAGTTCATATTGCTATAGATACAAGAACAGGTCAATCAAAAGGTTTTGCATACATTCTTTTCAAAGATCCTAAAGATGCTGTACAAGCTTACATAGAGTTGGATAAACAAATTTTCCAAGGTAGATTATTACATATTTTAGCTGCTGATGCTAAAAAATCTCATCGTTTGGATGAATTTGATTTAAAGAATATGCCATTGAAGAAGCAAAAAGAATTGAAGAGAAAAGATACTGCTTCAAGACAGACATTTTCATGGAATTCCTTATACATGAATCAAGATGCAGTTTTAAGCAGTGTAGCAAATAAATTGGGAATAGAGAAATCTCAGTTGATAGATGCAGAAAATTCAAATTCTGCAGTCAAACAAGCATTGGCCGAAGCACATGTTATTGGCGATGTCAGAAAGTACTTTGAAGTTAGAGGTGTCGATCTAGCTAAATTTGCAGAAATGAGATCTACTGAGAAAAAAGATGACACTGTCATTTTAGTTAAAAACTTCCCATTTGGTACAACGAGAGAAGAGCTTGGTGAATTGTTTCTACCATTTGGTAAATTAGAAAGATTATTAATGCCACCTGCTGGTACTATCGCTATCGTCCAATATAGAGATGTTCCTTCTGCTAAGAAAGCCTTCATGAAGTTAGCATATAAAAGATTCAAAGATACTATTATTTACCTAGAAAAAGGGCCAAAGAATTGTTTCACTAGGGAAGCACAGGATAGTGACACTCTTGTTAACGATGATTTACCAGCTGAAGAGATTAAAGAAGCTAAACCATCAGTCAGTGATATAATGGAAACTACTGAAAGCTCAAACAATGCGGATGACACTGCGGATGATATCCATGATGGTCCTACAGTTTCTATCTTTATCAAGAATTTAAATTTCACGACTACTACACAGCAACTAACTCAAAGATTCAATGCTTTTAATGGTTTTGTTGTCGCACAAGTTAGAACAAAACCAGATCCAAAACACCAGGGTAAAACTCAATCGATGGGTTTTGGTTTTGCAGAATTTAGGACAAAAGAGCAAGCATTGGCAGTTATCTCTGCTGTAGATGGTACGGTAATTGATGGCCATAAAGTTCAATTAAAACTGTCCCACAGACAAGGTGGCAGTACTGGAACATCCAAAAGCAAGGGTAAACAATCTGGTAAGATCATTGTCAAGAACTTGCCATTTGAAGCTACCAGAAAAGATATATTTGATCTATTCAGTTCTTTTGGTCAATTAAAATCGGTTAGAGTTCCAAAGAAGTTCGATAAATCAGCTAGAGGTTTTGCCTTCATTGAATTTTTATTACCAAAAGAAGCAGAAAATGCAATGGATCAATTACAAGGTGTGCATTTATTGGGTCGTAGGTTGGTTATGCAATATGCTCAAGAAGAAGCAGTTAACGCCGAAGAAGAAATTTCAAGAATGACTCAGAAAGCTAGAAAACAAATGGCAACAAGAGAATATGGTGCATTGAAAAAGGCTGGCGGTAGAAGAAAATTGGATTTGGATGAAGGCGATGGTCTTGATAGCATGTAAAATTTATTCATGAATACTCATTGACGATATATTACATATCTCTCTATGCATATTTAATTCGATATTAAATTATTTATAAATATATAATACTCAATTCACGATATCGAAACTTTTATATCCTTTTTGGAATTTTTTTACCTCTTGGATTTCTTGATCCTTAGTTTGTTGACAGATTAATGAATCCCATTTCATTCTTTTTGGCAATTTTAGCAAGAATGATAAAACTCTTCTACCAAACTGTAGGTCAATTCGTTCCTCTGACTTAAACATTGCAATAAATATTCTAGGTTCGGCTTCATTTGTTTCATAAATCTTAAAACGAAAGAAATTAGATTCTACATTATCAATGATCTCTAAATATTCATTATCAGTTTGTTTATATTCTTGAAATGACAATTTTGCATTATTTTGAAATTTCTCATTATTCAAGTAAACTTGTCTATCTAGTGCAGTTTGAAATTTCATTATAAGATATTTTGGAACTGGTAGTATTTGTTCATGATAATGGACAGATTTACTAGAATGAATTTCAAAGGTGACAGTAGACATATCATATTTTGTATAGTTCATATCAGCTACACTTTTTTCATAGCGGGTAATCTCTTCATTTAAATTTTTAATGGTGTCTGAATCTTGTCCATTGTTTAATTTTGGAATATGCTCAATTGGTACTATTAGACAATGACCTGAAAAGTCCATTTCTCCTTTAGGAACGCTCAATGGTCCCTTAGCAATTGTTAAATAAGAATGGTTGCCTATTGATATAAACATATGATCTTCTACATTAGGGTTTGTAAAACAAAAATGACAATTGGTAGGTAATACTGTTTTTTGTTTCTTGATTTTTCTTTCAGTAATAAGTTCATCATCATTAAATCTCTTAGAATACTCGACTACATTGCTATTTTCTCCTTTATTTTCCTTTGTATTTTCAGCGGTAAATGGATTTTGTATTAAATTTTCAGGTATTTCTTGGTCAAACTGTGATAGATTGAGGTCTATGTTAACTGCATATGCCCATTTTTCTTTTGACTTATACTCAGCAATATTCAAAAACCTTGTAATGACGTCAGTATTGTCCCATTTAAAAGGATTATACTCGAGATAACTAGATTTATCACCGTTGCTAAAATGATATTTTGGCTGTAGCAATTTAACAACATCATCCACTACCTCATTCCCCAGTATTCTTCCTTTATTCTTGGCAATTGCCACACTCCATTCAAAAGAAATAAATATATCTACAGGTTTGTCAATTGTCGAGAAATATTTTACAATGGACGCTTTCTGTTCTATCAATTCTTTACCTGTTAACATTAGGTATGTAATTTTCAGTCCATTAGAGAGCTGATACATACCATAATTATTTAAAAAAGTGACATCACCACTACTTTCCTTAGAATTTAGATCAGTTTTATCATTAGAAGCAAAGAAATACAGTGGTGATAATTCAATTGTATCTATATCCTGGACATCTAAATCCTTTTCACCTAGTACTAAAATTGCATCGAAGGGACCTGGTTTCTTATTCAACTTTTTAAGCTTTTCCTCGACATCTTTATATGAACCAACTGGAATGCTAGTTATTAACACTTTTGACTTTTCCATTTTAGACAGCACTCCTAGTAATGTTTATATACCATTGACGTTTGTCTAATCTCATTTTATCTCATCTCATCTCATCTCATCTCATCTCATCTCATCTAGGGAAACTTTTTTCATTTATATATTGTTCGCTCTAAGAAAACAACAAACAATTTCAGTAATAAAACGTAAGTTTAAATTATGTAAAGAAGTAAAAATTAGTGTAAGTAGTATACAGATAAACGTAAAGAGTGTGTAATTTGATAATGGCATCAACAATGTCATCAAATCAATTAAAAATAATTAAAGGTCCTTTTTCTGATTAAAAAAATGTCATTGATAGTTTGTTAATATAATCAGAAGAAAATTGAGTTGGATAACGAACAAAAGTTGGAGGAGGTTATAGCTTTGACATCCTCTAGGAATTGATTAATAGGTATATTTATATATGCAAAATGACTCGGAATTTATCGTGCTGCTTTTAATAGAATGTAGAGAAAGGGTCTGAATTTTCAAATCCATTAAACAGGATACCACTAGAACCTTGTTTACCCTTTCTATGTCTAAATGTAAAACCAACAAGGTTTGATTCCACTGCAGAATCATCCACTAAAGCTGATAACTTATTCTGCCTCTTGAATACGTCAGCATATTTAGCCATATCAGCCTCATTAGTGAAATCATCGAAGTAACCTGCATCCGTTTCGCTGTCTAATTGTGGAGTGAATGGTGGAGTCATTTCTCTAATTTTGTTAAAATCGATTTCAGCAAAATATGACATTCTTTTGACATGTTCAAAGGATCTCAATCTATTTATTGGGTCAGCAATCAATCTTGTTATCAAATCCCAAGTTCTGTCTGAAAAAGCAGGTCTGCCATTTTCTAAGCGAGGTCTCCTTAATGTTCTTTTCCAATGTCTCAAGTTTTCATAAGTTTCATTTGTGGAAGAGCCACTGAAAGGAGTATAACCTACAAGTCCTTCGAATAACATACATCCTAATGACCAATAATCAACAGTAAAATCATACTTTTTCCCTTCTAGTACCTCCAAAGCCATATAATCAGGAGAACCGACCATTGAATTTGCATAGTTAATTTCAGTTTCTCTCAAGTGGTTGTACATTTTTCTTCTGTCTTCAATTGATTTTTCAGTAAACGCAGGGAATTCCAAGTTTTTGACTTCTTCTAATCTTATTTTCATACTTTCAATTCTCTCTGTTGAAACTGTACCTGCTGCTAACCCAAAATCAGTTAACTTAATATGACCTTTTGCATCAATCAAAAAGTTTTCTGGTTTTAAATCTCTATGGGTATAACCTAATTCATGCAATGCATTGACAGCACAGAACATTTCACTAATATAAAATCTTGCATGTGCACTTTTTAAGTATCTTGTGTTAATCAATAAAGTACGGAAATCACCACCAGGGACAAATTCCATCGCTAGATATAGACTTTCAGCATCTTGGAATGCATATAATAACTTCACTAGCCACTCTGATCTTGTAGTAGTTAGAATATCTCTTTCTGTCAAAACATGATTAGTTTCATTCAATTTGAACAACAGTTTTTTATTTAACACCTTCAATGCACAAACTTCCTTAGTGTCTCTCTTTCTAGCTAAGTAAACTTGACCATAACCACCTTGACCAACTTGTGTAATGATATCAAAATCTTTGTTTTTTGGCTTCAATCTTCTTTTTCTCAATATTTCATGTTCCTTTTGTAGATAAGATTTCCACTCAGTGTTCAAAGAGTCACTGGAAACATTTGGCAATGTTTTCTGCTGTCCTAGATATTCAAGAACCTTTTTAGTACGTTGTCTTCTGCTAATGACATAATCAAACATATCACAATAATAATCCAAAAAGTACATCTGACAAACACTTACCAATCTTTGGGTCTTACCAGAAGAAGCTTTTTCAAAGAATCCACGAGGTAACTTCTTAGGAGAATTGGAGATATCTATCTCATCTCTAGTGGATTCATCAATATCCATTTTCGAAGTATCTTCGTCAAAATAAATTGTGGACTTAGCAGGAGATACAGATGGGGAATTGACATTAACATAACCATTCTCTTTGTATCTGGAAGGAGTAGAAGGTTCCAGATCTGGCTTTCTAGTATTCCTTAAATTGGTTCCTTTGCCTGCATCAAAACTTAATTGACTCATGTCTCCAGCAAGGATCTCTAAATCTTTATCAACTTTAGAATGCATATTTCAACCACACCCTTCTAAACGATCAATTTTGACCACTTTGAGCTGATATTAAGCCTTTAAAAATATTGAATACCAATATTTAATTCAACCTATTCTCTTACTTGAATAGCTCTAGTTCGTTAACTTTTAAATTTTATTTCTTCTTGTGTTTTTGTTTATGCCTTTGCCGTTTTGGGAAATTAATGGGATTTAGAAAGAAAAAGGGAGGGTAACCACGTGATTCTATATTAAATTTACATGTCCAATGATCAGATGCCAATAAAGTTACAGATATCAATCAACTAACAATGCTCACCTGTCATCTTTTCTACATGAAGATATAATTATCACGTATAGATGATATCATAGACTTTCTTATTCTTCCGTTTCATTATAATTTAGTTTTTAGAGTTTTGTTTGTTACTTCAGGTAGGATTCTTTGGATCTGATGGCAATGATGGTGGAAGTGACAGTAAGTACTCATTGGACGCTTCATTGGCTTCTTCGATACGTTTTTTCATTTTTTTGGTCATCTTTGCAGTGTTATTCGCACCTTTGGTAATACGGATATTCCCGCCAGTAGTTTGACGTAATGTGCTATTTACCATACCATAACCTACTTCTTCACCGAACGAGTCTAGACTGGTTGTTTCTTGCTTACCAAATTCCATTCTATTTTGAAGTTGTCTCATGTGTGATAACTCAAATTGTTGTTTATACTTTCTAAATTTTCGACCTGCACGTTTTTTCTTCTTAGCATCTTGTGGTATAGGTAATGGTTTAGTATCAGAAATATTTGCCGCTTCGTGGAGTTTTCTTATCTTTGTTACTATCTCTTCTCGCCATTTCTGGCCTAAGAAAGCTGCTGGTTCGGTTGAAGATGTCGATATCTTAACGCTGGTATCCACTCTTGCCGCTAATGAAATTTTAGCACATAGCATTCTTAACAATTGTTTGTGATAATCCACAGGCTGGGATTGGATTAGCTCTGAATTATAAATATATCCTTCCTGACGTACTCCACTCAGATTTGTTTGTCTTTCATGGGAGAAGTATTTGTTTTTACCAACAGAAGCCAGGTTGCAACTTGGAATTTGACTTAATTCAAGGATACCACCAGCATGCCCGATCAATAAGGATGTAATCTCAGATCCTACCAATGCACATAAGTTTGGAGCAATAGTGATAATATTTGATTCAATGAAAGTAGTTATTTCCTTTTTCAATAGATCATGCTGGATAATGATGTCTGTAAATTGCTTTAGGGATGTCTTCATGGATCCTTCAAAAGAATATTCTTTGTTTAAAGAGGTTTTCATAGCTATAATCAAAACTAAGACTTGCTCTTTTGTCAACAGAATTTCTGTTTCAAGTTTTGACGATAATAGATCATGCTGAGAAAAATCATCCATGGTTTCAATCAATTGTATTGTCTTCGCAAATTGAACAGCTGTAGGCGCTAATGTCTCTAACTCAAAGAATTTAAACTTGTAAATATGTTTACTATACTCGTAGAAACAACTAATCTCTTCTTGAATGATACCTAGCAATCTGGTCAGTAATGGCAACAATTCTACAAATTCATATTTTTTCTTGTCTAAAAGATTCCGTATTATCCTCTCATTTTTACTAACTTTTGATACAGATGAAGGTAACTGATTTTCTAAAACATCGACTTTCAATATGGAATACCCATCGATCAACTGACTAACAAATTTAACCTCATCATCTACCTCTTCATTTGAAAAAACCGTAGGTTCTATCACTTCATCTTGCTCTTCTTCAACTTCATCCAGTTCCCCAAAATCTTCCTCTAAATCACGGAAGAATTCCTCATTATCACTTATATCAGACATTAGCAACAGTATTGCCTTCTTGGATGACCATAACACTGCAATATTTAACATGTTTATTGATATCTAAATAGTTATTTAACTGTACTCTTTTATCCTGGAGGATTCCTTATTTGGAAGTTTCTTTAAATTGATCATGTGATCACAACCCAATTCACGCCATATTGAAAATTTTTCAATTTAAGAGATGAGCTCTAATTGCAATAAATTAGTAAGATGGGTGAATGTGACCTTGAAGTGCATAAAAGCTTGAATTGTGGGTATATATAATCATCGATTGAGTAGTTGAAAAGCGATAACGATGTCTAATATTGTTAACATTGAATATAATAGGGTGACTAACACTACATCTACCGATTTCCCAGGTTTTTCTAAAGATGATTTAAATGCTTGGGATGTTAACAAATTTAAAGATGATTTAGAGATCAATATTAGCAGTATAAATTCTAGAGAGGCTAATTTTGATTTGATTAATATAGATACATCTATTGCCAATGCCTTTCGTCGTATTATGATTTCAGAGGTTCCATCAGTTGCCGTTGAATATGTTTATTTTTTGAATAATACCTCTGTTCTGCAAGATGAAGTATTAGCTCATAGAATTGGTTTGGTACCATTGAAGGTTGATCCTGACATGTTGTCTTGGATAGATAGTGAGCTTCCTGAAGAAGAAAAATTCACCGACGAGAATACCATAGTGTTAAGTTTGAACGTTAAATGTACAATGAATCCAGATGCGCCAAAAGATTGTACTGATCCAAAAATTTTATATAAGAACTCAAACGTTTATGCTCGTGATTTAAAGTTTGAACCACAAGGGAAACAAGTTGAATCATTCGCTAATTATCCAGTGGTGCCAGCAAATCCAGATATTCTCCTTTGTAAATTAAGACCTGGCCAAGAAATATCATTGAAGGCTCATTGTATTCTAGGTATAGGGTCTGATCATGCTAAATTTTCTCCAGTAGCAACCGCATCGTACAGATTAATGCCACATATAAACATTACTCAACCTATTACAGGAGAAGATGCTAAAAAGTTTCAAAAATATTTTATGCCTGGTGTTATTGGTATCAATGATAATGGTGAAGCTTATGTAAAAGACGCTAGAAAAGATACTGTATCAAGAGAAGTATTCAGACATCCAGAATTTGAAGGTAAAGTTAAATTAGGTAGAGTAAGAAATCATTTCATTGTTAACGTAGAGAGCACAGGTGCAATGACCCCAGAAGAAATATTTTTCAAGTCTGTTAGAATCTTAAGAAATAAAGCTGAATATTTGAAAAACTGCCCGTTAACTCAAAGTTAGATTACCTTATAATAGAAATAAACTGTCCATTTGAAATATAAATAAATAAAATAGAATATAAATTATATAAACCTCCATAACCCTCACACTTAGGTAATTATAATAAAATATAGAATGCATCAAAAATATAGAAATAGTAATTTCTGTCTTTGCTTATGAATCCTTCATTAATTTCTATTTCTCTGGTAGTGGAGAGTTTCCGGTAATTAAAAAAATTATGCCACCTGCCAGAATTGAACTAGCGACCTTTGCATTACAAGTGCAACGCTCTACCACTAAGCTAAGGAGGCGCTTTATTGTAACTCAAAAATTGTTGGAGGTATTTGAAACCATATAATCTTGAAGAATATTTTTCTATATCTTTGAATTCATTCCTAGTTGTGTCAGAATGGGGGAAGAGTGTTACAATTATGAGATAATGTATAGTCATACTCCTTACTTCAATATTACTAAGGATGAAGAATTATATGAAACATCATTTTTAATAAGGGGTAAAGAAATGTTTCTAATACGAAAGTATTTTCTTCTGACGTTGCAAGAATATCTAAACGCTGTATATAAAGTCTGATAAGATTTTAGTTGATATTTATCCTACGTACTATATTTCTGTATGTATATTATGTATTTTAATACACATGGATCAAAATCTACTAAATAAGAATGTCCTTGGAAATAAACAATAAATCTAACAATATGCAAGATTCTGTAAAGAAACAACAATCGTATGATTCTCTACAGCCATATTCATCTTGTACAAAAATAAGCGATAGCAACAGAATCTTTATTCTAGAATATCCAGGTTAAAGTCACAACAATCAGAATGTATTCACAATTGGCTGTAGATAACTAATGGGTTGAAAATTGTTGAAGCCAAATTTTTATTAGTGATCACTTAGTGTCATTTAGTTATATTTAGTAACTAAATTCTCCAAACCATGTTCAGTATCAGTATTTATGGAGCTAACCGATTGATAATATTAAAAATATGACTAATTGTTATTGCCTGCAAAAGGGTGCAAAAATGTCACCTGGATATTATTTGTTAATGATCCATATAATTTAAAAACGTTTTCTAGAAATCTTTGACATATAAATGGAGGCTAATTATTCATACTTGTTATTTAGAATAATTGTACAATTTATTGAGGAAACGTTGTCCAAGAAGGATAAGGGTGTGATGGGATTCTCACATAAATCAAACCTATGGACTTAATAGGGGAAACACCGATGAATTTTCAATACAATGTATTGGAATTTCATTAAATTCAATCGGTACAAACTTTGGATATTTCCTCTATAATATAATATCCAGTGAAGTATTTAAAGACTACATATATATTGCGTAGATTTTGTTCAGGTATTGTTCATCTATATAAATAGTTTTATTTTACCTTAAACTTCCAGAAAATGAATATAAAATTGAGGCTTATTTTATTAACTAAATTTAGATTACCTTATATATATTGTGCTAAATCTAAGCAAACAGGTTGTAAATTTTATTTTATTCGACGTGAAATAATACTAACTCTATAATAACGAAGATAGATCGGTATCGTAAAGTAGCTAATGTGTACAATGATATTGGGAGTTATACAGACCGTTGAGATCTCTTTTACCATAATGAAAAGGAGAATACCAGATACTTTTTACATAATAAAGAGCTGCAGGTTGTGTACCATATTTTTTTATAGTAGAAATAATTTTATCGACAAATTCCTCAGGTTCTAGATTCATGATAATATTGAAAGAATTTTCATCTTTATTCAAGATCTCATTAAACTCCTTAGATAATAATGGGTCTAATGTACCTCTAATCTTTTCATTAATATATAAGTTGGAAACGGCATCTTTGTTATCCAGTTTACGAATATATATTTCAATTAATGACATCTTGGTCAGAACATATCTAATTTTTTCAAATTCATAACAATGCCAATAAACTGTAATATTGGACCATATTTTATTAAGAGCACCTTCAGAAAAAATATCAAGAAAATAGTTCTTTAGTTTTTTATAAATATTGATTACTGACGCCTCTCTAAAAATATAATCTTGAAGGTGCTTCCCTAAACTTTCAAAAATAAGCTTTCTCAATATAGAATTTTCACTATCTGAAATTTTCTGGTCATTGATCTTAGTTATGTCATAGAAATTCCAATGAATAAGGAATTTTTTCACTGCGTCTGACCATATATAAAAATCTTCAATGTATTCTAGCATATAATTTATCTTGGAATATGAATCTTTAAGGGTGAAATTTATATAATTATCCTTCGACGTTTCACAATTAATGCAACATTGTAAATAACCAGGTTTCAATTGAAATTTTCCTTTATATATAGAAATCTTATTAGTGTAATTCTTTTCTTCGCTGTCATTTTCCCCCATATTTTCTGATTCTTTATCCTCTAATGATAAGGATTCCAACTTCTTGGTTTCTGAAATATCATTACCTTTAACTGAAATTCCTCTATCCCAATGCTCTTCATAGTAGTCTACATCTGCCAATACATCTTCTTCCTTCTCTCTTTTCAATAGTTCTAAAATCTGCTTTAATCTAGCAATCTTATCTATCAAATCTTCACTGCTATCGACCTTCTCACTGGTACGAGATTCTGAATTTAAAAGAATACTGCTAAGTTTAGCCTTTGAATACTTAATTTTCTCCTCGATTATGGCAATTACAACATCATTCTCTTGTCCTTCAATCTCTAGCCTAATACCCGCTGACAGTATTCCACATTGAGAATCCTTGTCTGTCATTACTTATATAGTAGTTCAGTTAAGATTTAAACAAACTTTTTTTAAACAGAATAACTATAGACACACACTTGTATATCCTTTTGTCTTTAATTGAATTGCCATATTTCTTCTTAGATGTCTTAATAAATATTTAAAGGATTCATTTTTAATCTCTAATAGTTAAATTTCATGTCGGAGATCTTAATCTGTAAAATTGGATATCAAGCAATAGCTGGTTAAAGCTAGATCAGCTGACTTTCCGGTAGAAGGAGGAGTTAAAACTCAATTGCTCTTGACTGGTTTTACTTTATTAGGGGCTTCTTTGGTTGATGTAGTGTTGTAATATTGTATATCGATGGAACAATGCTTGTCCCAGGAATACAGGCTAAAAAACTGTTCAGAGATGTAATACAGTTCACTGGTTTTATGATTTAATTACAGTAATGAATTTCGTTAAACCTCCCTTCTATAAAACTATTGAATATAAACATGAAATAACTAAAAAACCTATAGTCCCATTTTTACGTGAAATAATTGATGATGAGTAAAATTATGCTTCAAATTGGAGCAATTCAGACTTTTAAATACAAGTTAGTAACCAGTCATTAACATTTTCATATTACTGTTTTCAGATTCTAGACGACTGATATCTTGCTCTAAACCTTTGATTGCTAGCTCAAATTCATTTGCTGTTTGAGCTCTAAGCTCTTTCCTTCTTTGACGATCTGATTCCCTTAGTTGAATAAACTGGTTCTTTAAAGATTCAGACTCTTCTGAAGTTTTTGAAACCTCTTTCATCAACTTATCATGCATAGCGGTCAACCTTTCATTTCTTGACGCTAGTTGATTATACTCAGTTTGTAGTTTTGTCAATTGCTTGTTTTCAACGGCAAGCTTTTCTTTCAAAGATTCTTCTAATTTACTATACTCCAGGCTTCTTTTCAAATGCTGGTCTTTTTGCTTTAAATGATCAGACTCTAATTGAAGTTCTTTATCTGTCAAAGCTTTCAATTGGGTTTCTAATTTAATTGTCAAAGCTTCATTTTGTTGCAATGTAGTCTTTAACCCGTCTATTTTTGAGGTACTCTTTTCGTCATTTAATGCATTTTGATTCATCTTGGATTTTATGTGATCAATTTCTTGTCTTAATGTATTCAATTTCTTATTAATTTCTTTCTTTGTTTTCTTTAATTTGATACGTTCCTCTGACAGATTGGTATTTGTTGTCAATACCGAATGTTTTAATGTTAAAAGAGGTGACAGGAATTTTCTATGGTAATAAGAAGGAAAACTAAAATCGATGTTTTCCAAGGACTCATTTTCATTAATTGAAGAAGATTCTGGGATATTGTTATCGAAATCTTCATGTGGTATCTTCAAACTACGTGTACGTACAACAATATCAGAAATTAGATGATCATCAGTTTGGTTTAGTCTATTAATAAATTGGATATCATAAGAGCATGATGGAACCAGTCCATTCACCACTACAAATTGTTCAAATTCCCTTTCAAAGATCAATGCACAGGATACTTCTGACCATATAACACCATTTACAAGCACAATAAGTTGGCCTTCCGATAAATTTTCAATATGAAAGGTGATGGAATGGGAGCCTATATCTGTAATACAAATTTTATATTCATTTTCACCCCTGCTAAAGATATTTTCATTAGATGAAATTAAATTTAACTGGTCATAATCATCGGATGCAGTTTGGACTATCAATTCCATATTATTGACATCTAAAGAATTATCGAATAAACTCTTATTTTGTAAATTGGAGGTTTCCTCTATGCTTGAAGCAGAAAAAGTTGGTGAAAGATCATCATTATTTGAAGTAGTGCTGCCTGTGTTCAAATTTTTAGCTGTTGTAACCTCCTTTAGATACTTCTTTTCAAAATTTGTCGCTTTTAATGTAACAAACATAGACCACAATGGAGATATTAAATAATTTTTCTTCCACTGAAATAAGTGTCTAATAAAATTTTCAAGGTTGCTTGTTTCGGTTATAACTCCTGCTATTTCATTCTCCTTATGATCATCAGAAGTAACTAGTAACTCGAAGAACTTATTTTTCCAAGTGTTCGTTTCTTCATTCATTGAATTTGATATAGTGGAAAATGCAGTGGTGCTTACAGCTTGAGAATTATAATTAGTCACATTCGGTTCATAAAATTTGAAATCTTTAATATTAGACTCAAATATTGGTTCTGTCAATTCGATTCTACTTTCCCCACTTGAAGATGATGAAGATTTTCTAAAAAGATCTTTTAAAATTTGAGATACTATAATATTACAACATAATGTAAATTGCAACAAATTTTCATAGTGTATCCAATGATTATTTCCAAAATTCAAAAAGTTGAAACCAGAGAAATGGAAGTCAGTGGAAATTGCTGTCGAAACATATTTATAAACTAAACTTTTCCTTTGTAAACTTAGCAAGGTCAATTTAACAATAGGTAAATTTTCGAGATATGTAAACAAAAGAAATGAGCAAAAGCATAGAAATGCAATATAAATCCTGTTCCTCGGTTCGTTGATCATTGACGATGATACGATACTTATTGCAAACACCTTAACGGGTATATAAAAATAACTATTGAAATAGTATCTTAACAAGGTTGAAGTAATAAGCGTAACGATGAGACTGTAAAAAAGGCAGTTTCTGTCCCTCAAACGTTCTTTAGAAAGGGTAAAATCCACTTTAGATGGACGTTTTGATAGAAATAGTACAATAAATACATGAGCAATAAAATTTTTAACTACACTTGCAATAATGAAAAAACTTAATAGTATAACCAGATAGAAATTATTAAAATTGTAAAAAATTAAAAATAATGCAAACGTGTCCAACAACCGATACGAATTAGCAATCTTCATTGACACAACACCAAATATACCACACACTCGTACAATCGTCTACTCCTCAGATGTATTAAAGCTTGTAATACTGGCTATCTTGTTGTTGAGTTGAACCTCTTTTAAATACTCGAATTATGTTTACGAATGGTAATTTTTCATTGGAAACGAGATGAGCTATCGAAATCGGTTTATGACGTCATTATTGTTTGGTGCTATATTGGAAAGTAATTAGTTTATATTTGTAATTACGTGGATGGAACTGGTGCTAGTCAGTGATAGAATGTTTATATTATTAGCTCATTCTTATATTTCTGTTTCATGTTGTTTAAATGAGTGCTGATGGATCGGTTCGCAGCTTATCAGAAGGGAAATTAATAAAGTGTGCTTCCAGGAAATATATCAGGAACAATTGTATTATTGTTGGGTAACTTTAACAACTATATCTATTAGTATAAATTCTACATTAAATTGTATAGGACAGATACTCAGTCAAGATTAATAGCAATGGCTACCTTATTGTCAGCTTGTATTTGTAGTGATTAAAAGGTATTAAATAGAACAGAATCACATTCTTGATAATCACGTGAGTTAAATCCACGTGACCAGATGTTCAATATATATATATATATATAAAGCGTAATTAATAATTCAAAATCAAACGAAACAGAACTTAACCATTAACAGCAAGAGATAAGTAACTGCTGGTTGAACTGAGATATTGATATTCTAGTGTTCATTATAAGTTCATCATTGTACTATACACTTAATTACTGTGTGTTTGTTGCTTTGTTTTATCGTGCATATACATTTTTCTACATTGTCAAGACAATGAATATTGTTCATCCAGATACTAGTAATTATGCATTTAAATTCGAACCGTTTTTAAGACAGGAATATAGTCTGTCTTTGGATCCAGATAGACCTATTTGCGAGTACTATAACGGTATATCGGCAGACTCGTGTCCTCGAGGAAACAACTGTCATAAGAAGCATGTCCTACCTATTTTCCAAAACAAGATTGTATGCAAACATTGGTTGCGTGGTCTTTGTAAGAAAAATGACAACTGTGAGTACCTCCATGAATACAATTTGAGAAAGATGCCTGAGTGTGTGTTCTTCAGCAAGAACGGGTTTTGTACACAGACTCCAGAATGTCAATACCTACATATTGATCCATTAACAAGAATAGAAAAATGTTCAAACTACGAGACAGGATACTGTCCATTGGGCCCAGCCTGTACAAAAAGACACATCTCAAAGAATATATGCCCAAGATACCTAACAGGGTTCTGTCCTCTGGGGAAATCTTGTGATATGGCCCATCCAACTGCTTGGTATATCCCAGAATCATTAAAGATTAAAAAAGATGACGAGATAAACACAAGGAAATCGGACGAGGAGAAAGAGAAAAGACTAAACGCAATCATCAATGGTGAAATAGAGTTCCCATAACAGCATCAACCTATACTAACCCATCAAAGTTTTTCAATAAAAATGGCATTCTTACATACTTACATACTGTAAATATTATTATATACCTATATATAAATAATATCATATTTTACGACATAATTAACATCTTTTCAATTTTATTAGTTTGAATTAAAATTTAATTCCAATATCTTTATATAAAAAGTAAACAAAGTATTCTCATCGATTCCAAATTTGATGAGATGCTTTTAAGAAGGATAAGGATTATCTCTCAAGGTCTGTATCAGTGGCTGTTGTGTTGAGAGTGTACAAGTTTGTAAGGTTTTCGAAAATCCCGGTTTGGTTTGGAAGAAAGTGAGCTATTGACATTTCAAGTAGTTTGATTGAAGACAATACAGCAGCGGGAACCTTATTTTTAATATCTATATTGTAATATTATTGAATTCTGGGGGGTTATACATTTTTTTTTTATCATTGGTAGATACACTTTCATTATATTCTGCCTAATCTACTTTTTTTTAGTTTTATTTGCACAGCATTTTACAAGCATATTTTTTTTTTATGAACTATAGAAAATGAATGAAGAGTTGGCCTCAACAGTGATATCAAGTCATTTAGAGTCAGAAAATAATAATTTGGAGTTACAAGTTGGTGATGGACACCTTTCACCGCACATTGATGATGAGCAGATAAGTGGAAGCAGCGGGAATGATGTCGATGACGATAACGACGATAATAATAGTGTCGGTAAAATCGATGAGCTAGAACTTCCCGATCATGATTTTTCAAAACTTCTGGATTTTGATACAAAAAGTGATGATGCTCTGTTATCCGCAGCTAATGATCTCTTAAATGAAAGTAATGGTGCAGAGAGTAATTTAGACTCACAACATACCGATTTGATTAATGAGGAAGATCAAGATGTAGAGATGAACGATAGTATAGATGCGAAAGAATCAACAGCAGAATTGGTGAAACCAGATAAAGATTCCCCACAGTTTATTATAAATGAGAAAAATAATTTGTTTAACAGACAAAGGAAAGACTCGTTGACTCCAATTATGTTTCAAAAGCACGAATTACCGCCAAAAAATTTTAGTCAATTAAATTCTTCGGATCCACAAAAGAATAGTGAGGATAGCAATGCCATAATAGAAGAACAGCCAACAATATCGGCATATGCAAGATTAGATTTCCAAAGTTTTACCTTTTATGTTCAAACTCTGCATGTAATTATTGGAAGAAGATCTGAAAACGATTTCACTCATAAAGTCGACGTTAATTTGGGCCCTTCAAAGTCAATTTCTAGAAGGCATGCTCAAATATTTTACAATTTTGGAACAGGGAGATTCGAATTATCAGTAATTGGTAAAAATGGTGCGTTTATAGATGATGTTTTCGTTGAAAGAGGAAATACTGTACCCCTACGAAATAGAACTAAAATTCAAATTGGACAAATACCATTTCAATTCATCTTACCAGAGCAAGAAAAAGATAAAATACAGGAATCTACAAAGCCTTCTCCTGATATACAAACTCAAAAGATCAAGAAAGAAGAAACAAAAACTACAAAGAAACCAAAGAAAGCTACTACTTCTGTAAATACAACACCAGTTAAGAAGGAAGCTAAATCTAAGGTAACTGTAGATAAAATAGTACCATCTATACCAGAAACACCAATTGCATCTCAAACTACATCAACAACTACTTCTCCAAAGAAAAAGAAGCAGAAACCAGCAGCTCCCAAGGAAAAGAAACAACCTAAACCGCCAAAGAAGGTTTACACCCTTAATGAAATTCCTTTAGAATACAGAACAAAACCAACATTTTCCTATTCAACTTTATTGACCAACTGTATAAGAAAATTTTCCACTCCTAAGGGAATGTCACTATCTGAAATTTATGCAGGAATTAAAGAATTGTATCCATATTACGAATATTGTCCCGATGGCTGGCAAAGCTCTGTAAGACATAATCTATCATTAAATAAATCTTTCAAAAAAGTTTCAAAAGAAGGTAAGGGTTGGCTCTGGGGTCTTGATGAGGAATACATAGCTGAGAGAGAAAAGCAAAAGCAGAAACAGGCAGAAGCTGCTGCTGCAAAAGCACAAGCTGCTCAAATGAAATTGGAGCAGCAACAACAACAAAGAGCTAAGAAAGGAGGTGATACTGTGACAGCCAGAAAAGGAACTGCATCAGCAAAAACGAATACGAATAAAGGTCAAACTATATCGCAAACGCTAGCGGCTAATAGGTCTACAGATAAAAAGACAAAATTAAATGATCAACAACGTACAATGAAATACTTGCAAGAGCAATTAATGATATTAACCAGTGATAGAAAGGGCTTATCTAAACCAGATATCGCTAATATTTTAACACAAGCATTGGCAATGACCATCAATCAAGTAACTCAAGCAGCAAAAACTAAGGGTATTGCGGGAAATCCGCTTACCGCATTAATGGATAAGAATCCACAGCATCTAACTCTCATTCTGGCCGCTGCTGTAAATGCAGCAACATCTAAAGTAACAAAAGGTAAAGTCAAGCAGCTAGTGACAATGCCACCGCCTGCTTCAATGACACCAAGTGTTTCTAAGGCAAAGGCAACTACACCAGCTTCTACAGAAACTGCTTCAAAGAAGAAGTCAACAGCAGCATCTTCAAGTAAGACAGCTACAACCAAGGCATCTACGGCTAAGGCATCTGCAGCTAAGGCATCTGTAGCTAAGGCATCTGCGACTAAGGCATCTGCAGCTAAGGCATCTGCAGCTAAGGCATCTGCAGCTAAGGCATCTGCAACTAAGGTAACTTCAACGAAGTCCCAATCCCCATCAATTACAAAATCATCGTCAACTACCAAAACAGCAGTTACGAAGACAACTGATAGTTCTTTCGATCCGTCTTCTTTATCTAGATTTTTCCAGCCTAAACAGCCGGCTAGAGTTCCAACTCCTCCAATTGCCAAGCAAGTAGTTCCTCAAAAAAGGAGTTTGAGTGGTGAATATGATGATGCAACTGATGACAGTAGCAGCGAAGACGAATCTACTAGCAGTGATGATGATGACGATGAAGGTAGTGATAAGGATAAAAATTCTGATGGAAGCACCAGCAGTGATGACGATGATGATGACGACGATAGTGATAATGATAGCAGTAGCAGTGACAGTGATAGCGAAGAAGAAACCAAGGAGGAAGAGAAAAAAGATGTAGTTGGGTCAGCATCAGGCCAAGGTGATAATGTAGACTCGGGTTTAAAGACAAATACCGAATTAATGAATTCAGCTGTTGAGGGTACTATTTCTAAATCATCTATTGATGAAAATATTTCCGAAGTACTGACAACTGATCAAACAGCGAAAATACCCATTTCCGATGATACATCAAAGCCATCAATAAGCGACGATATTTCAAATCCATCAATTAGCGATGACATTTCAAAACCTGTTGATGCGATTGTAGAAAATTCAGTCAATGTAGGGATGGGATCAGAAGCAAATGCGGATGATGAAGATGATGGTACAAATATTGAAAAATGGCAATTTGATAACCACGAAGAAGAGCCAACATGGTCTCTTCCTCTTGTAACTGCAGATGAAATTGATGCCAAGTTGGATGTTGATGTTGATGTTGATATGGATGTAGAAGTGGATGAGAAGTCATTAAGTTTGGATGACAAGGTCATGTCTGAGATCAATGATGGCATTTAAATTATTTTTCGAATGGCAGAGAGTATCCGAATCTATCGATGCTTTTCAAGATGCATGAGCGATACAAGAAAATATATAAGATTAATTATATAAGACATTACATAGGAGCTATGTAAATATGGGTTTTAAAAAATAATAAATAACGGATAGAGATTTAAAATGTATTGTTCTTTAATAGGATAAAATATAATTTTGTTCTCGTTAATATTTAAAATATATAAATTAATGCTAATTACCAATGACGTTGGCGAAAGAGCCTTCTTTCTCTTTAACTTCCCAGAATACGGCACCGACATCGTGATTGCCGTGATAAACCCAACCGTTTTCGGTTACATGGTATAAATTAATGGAACCACCAGAATAAGCATCTCTGTGGGCAGCTGCTAGAATGGATCTTTTCCCTAGATATAATGCTTCATCTACTGTTAGATCCCATTTATAATTTGAGTCTAGCACACCATAGGCAAATGTTTGACCTGAACCCACACAAAATAAGTCACCCTTCAATCTTGTACCGTCTGAATCGACATAATAAATGGTTGGACCTTCTTTTTTGGTGTAACCACAGATCATCGTACCCATAGATAAACCTGCACCTTTATATTGATATACTAAATTCGACAAGATCTTTGAGGCAGCAGCAACAGAGATTCTTGATTTTTCCTTTAACTCATGTAATCTACATTGAGAACCTAACCAAGTTTCCCAAAATTGACAATCAGCAGCACCACCTGCCATGGTACCCAACAGGAAAGGGTTAATCTCTATAACTTTCTTAACAGTTTGAGAAGCAACCCAATTACCGGCAGTAGCACGAGAATCGACAGCTACTATAATACCACCTTGAAATCTAAAAGCCAAAGTTGTAGTACCATGAGCAATCTTGATTGAACAGTCAGGATTTCTGGAATCATCAGTATGAGCACGTAAAAATTGTTGTGGTGAATTAATAGGTGGCATGGATATTTTTGGAGCTAACAATGAAAAATTATCGTTACCTGAAATAAAATCATTTTCTAAATTATCAGTATCATCGTAGCCTAAACTCTGCACAATAGAGTTATGACTGGAATATTGAGATGCAATAGCCTGCATTATTATTATCTTTTTAAGAGCGTGCTGATTGACAACGATCTGTCTTTAAGTTCAGAATTAATCCAAAACGAAACGTTTATATAATTAACCTTCTTATAATAAGAGCTTTGACTTTTAATCCTTTAAGTTTTGCCACTTTAAAAACAAGATATTATTGAAGGCCGGGTAAGTTTGTTTTTCAATTTTAGATATGGCACGTGACTATAGTGTGTCTTCAACTTGGATTCTGGTTATAACGACGACGACAGCAATAGGATTGGGGATGATCAAGGTTATGAGAGAGATTCAAAGCTTTAGAAATTTGTTCTAATGGACAATGTGTAATTACTTACCTTATTCACTCAAATTTTGGTGTCAATACTGTTTCTGAACAAGATAAATTGGGTTTTTGGGAGTGTCAAGGACCAAGGATGGGAACATAATAGTTAACTAATACTGCTGAGTATAAAGACCTTAGTTTACTACGCAGTTCTCATAATTATCATATATGCAAAGAGTAAAAAGATTTGACCGTAAACCGATTTGGATGGATCCTTACAGTAATTGGTATACATATAAAACTATCAACGAATGACATGAGGTCAATAGGTTGTATTGCAGTATAACCTTCTTTTGTACTTGTAACACATCCATTATTACCTTTTTAAATTTTTTTTTGTTGAATTATCTTAAATAACATGCATGTTTATTGATGTTGCATAGAAGACAATTGGTCCCAGTTTGATCCTTGTTGGGTTATTAAAAAAACACTGCGATGTTGAGTTGGGAGATGAAGTTATTTGGTTATAATGAGGTATTCTTGATTTCGAAACAATGTGTTCTCTTACAAAGTATAAACAAACTCGGTACTCAATTGAAAATGGCTCTGTAACATAAGTAATGACTATTATCTGAATTATTTCAGAGAGCGTTGTGCGTAACACTGGGCTAATAGTTACCTATTATTGACTAGATCTTTCCATGTATATGTATTATTCGAGTTCCTAAACAGTTGTTGGTATTAAAAATGAAAAATGATTGATTGTAAAAGAATATGGATATAATGGAGAGTAATGATCTCATATTACTGTTTATTTAGCTAGTACATGATCCTAAATGTAGAATAAGCAAATCAGAGACGATCAAAACTTATAACATTTGGTTCAGAAAACTAAAGAAGGAGTATTGGGGTCATATGGAAATAAACTCAACAACAACAGTGATGACGCAGCTTTGGCAGAAGAACAGAGTACCTATATTATGTAAGAAAAGTCTAGAAACAGAACATGCATGTATAGTTTATAGAGAAGTTTGAATTGAAACAAGAATCAAATCCAAAAGTGTATTGCGAAGATTGGAATGGTATACAATTCATATGAACCGTTAAAAGTTTTACTAAGAGAATTGAATAAATGTTGTGGTGCTTGAAATTTTATTTCGTCACCTAATTGATATTTTTCTACTTAGAATGTTCCTTCATTTTGTAAGACTTATATGAATACCAGAGACCTGGTAAGCAAATTTGTAATTGAAAAGGGACGTGATGTATTTTGATCCGTAGCAGCATATGTGTCTCAGTCTGATGTACAATTTTAGTTCTGTAAAATATAATAGTTCTAGTATCTAGCACGTGACATCGGATGCTCTTACACTGATGTGAAATCGATGGTCAAGCAAAGGTTATGCCTTATTATGGGCTTGTCCAAAAATTGATGACCATAACTCCTATTTGCAGAAACTTTTTATAACACGTCGGAACAATATATTAGAATATCCATCTTTATAATATCAAATAAACAGCATGAACACAAGACACTTATGAATGGTCAGAATAAGGAACAGTGACACGGGTGTCAACAAATAGTAATAAACAGACAGACATTGTACACCTAATTCAGTACCATGTGTCTAATTCAATTAACCTAAATAATTATTACAAATAGTTATGATGCACTCCGAGTCAATTGTTTGGAATAGAACATACCTCTGACACTGGAACGTTTAGTGAAGATATCAATAATGAAGAGTTGTGATGACAGCAAACTGAACCTTTATCTTGATTATATAAACTATTTAAAGATTAGCATGTTACAGTGTAATCAATTTGTAAGATCAATCAAAAGGATGAGGTGACAGCTTAAGTAAGTTAATTTTATAAGATTGAGGTGAAAAAAAAGTTATCATCAAAAGAGGTGTCTCAGAGGTTCAACCAGAGATGCATTCTGAATATGATTCTGAGTGTGACTCTGAAGAGGAGGATAGGCATGGAAAAGCTTATGAACAATTTATCGCCGATTTGGAAATTTTCAAAATTCTTATTCAAGAAAGAGTTCGTTTAGATTTAATTATTAGTATGAGATATGTTCTTGAACTAGCTCTGATAATGACTATTGAGAAACCAGTTGGGTTGAATACCCAACTTCCGTTATCAGATGGTAGTTCCTATTCTGTAAGAGACCTAATGAAGACGACCACTCGTGGGTGGCGCCTCGTATTAAAGTCGGTTAAAATTGCGTTTCAAGATCCAGAAAGTTCATTAGATCTATTGAGAAGATTGAACACCCGCCTTTATAGGCCAGTTTGGGAACTTGGGTTGTTTGATTTCCGGTGCAAGTGGTAGATTCTATATTTATATGTAACTTATATACGTAAGTATGAATCCAGAATCGTTGAGTTCGTGCAATTTATATTTTCTTTTCTTTTAGTGTGTACTTGAAACGTTAAATGATCATGTGATCCGCCCTTACTCTACTATGTGGCCTGTAATTGGTAGTTTTAGTTATTATTTGGTTGTAGATTTATTTTGGTATACGTTAAAATAAAGACGGTTATGCGTTTATTCAAGGGAGTCTTATAGCAGAGATCAGTATTATAAAGTATATATACTATTAATCAATTATGTAGTTCATAGATCTTTTATGTGTAAGTTAACATCGTAAATAATATACAATAATATCTCTTTATAACACTATTGATAATATGAAACAATGGTGTTATAACAAGACACCTCTCGTCAGCTATCAAGGTTCGTACGAACTATCCTTGAAATTACATGTTTTTACACTTGATGTATAATCGATGTTCGACCAAAGGTTATCCTTTATTATGGGCTTGTTCAAAAATTGATGAACATATATCCTATTTGCAGAAACCGTTTGACACTTCGAAACAATATATTAAAATATTCATTGTTAAAATATTAAATAAACAGTATGAATATGACACTTTTATGATTGGTCAGAATTAGTAACAGTGACACGAGTGTTAACAAATAGTAATAAACAGACAGATATTTGACAACTAAATCAGTACCATGTATCTAACTGAATTGACCTAAATAATTATTACAAATAGTTATGATGTACTCGGAGTCAATTGTTTAGAATACAACCTACATCTGACACTTTGCATAATAAGCAATTGTCAGTCTGGGTTTACCCAAGACCTCCAATTGTAGTATCTTGGTATTTGATATACATTTATTGGATTCTAGAGCCTGTTTAGTTCTTGTATCCTCATGGGGTTATTACTATATATGAGTTTTCTTAGTTTACATCCCAATCGTTGTCGTGCATATGTCTGCATAAGAAGTGTCGGCTAATACTGTTCAAGCATACAATGTGAGTGAGTATACGGAGCTCTGACACTGGTACATATAGGAAAGTATCAATAATGAAGAGTTATGATCATAGCAAACTGAGCCTTTATCTTGATTATATAAACTATTTAAAGAGTAGCATATTGCAGTGTAATTTACCATATGGGCGAAATGACAGTTTAAGTAAGTTTATCTTAGAAAATTGGGGTGAAAAGAAAGTTATCATCTAAAGAGGTGTTTCGGAGATTCAACAAGAGATGTATTCTGAATATGATTCTGGGAATGACTCTGAAGAGGATTTTGATAAACCAGATTATGAACAATTTATTACAGGTTTGGATGTTTACAAAATGCTTATACAAGGAGGAGTTAGATTCAGTTTAGGTGCGAATATGAACTAGGTACTTGAGCTAGCACTGATGATGGTTACTGAGGGTCCAGTTGGTATGAATACCCGTATTCCGTTATCAGATGGTGGTTCCTATTCTGTAAGAGATCTGATGATGACTACCAATCATGAGTGGTATCAAATATTAAAGTCAGTTAAAATTGCGTTTCACTATCCAGAACGTTCATTGTATATTTTGAGAAAATGTAGAAGTGGTTTTTACACACAAGATCGTCCACTTGATGTAATTGATTTAGAATCCAAAGTGGTAGATTCTATTTTCTTATGTAACGTATGTATGTAATTATGAATGTTAGACATTAGAACAAAGAGAGCGTGGTAACACGTGATTGATGAGATTGTCGGATGATGGAGATAAACAGCGACTCTAAATAATAGCTACAAAATAGAATAAAAATGAATAACAGCATTTGTTTTCTTTTCATTCAAAGAAGCTAATACTTCTCTCTGTTTATTGTTGATTGTCTAAATACTAACCTTTTACAATTTATATATATTTATATAAAAAGACTAAGGCCATATAATTTACTAGGAGCTAATAATATATTCATCGAATCAAAGCAAACAAGATATCAATTCAAACTAGGATTGCGTATCTGTAAATAACTTTTATACTTTCAGACTTACATACCATTCACCTTAGTTGCATAGTATATAAATTACCCTATTTTTAACTTTTAGTTATTGCGCCTACAAATTTCCTATCCTTTGGGGTTATGAGCCCTGACTTTAACTAGAAGTTATATTTGTTACTATTTAATCTATAAGATCCAAAGTTTAGAATCTATCCTATAATCTCAAATTACTATTAAAGTAATGATCGATATGCTAGAATAAATTCATAAGATTGAGAAATATCAGAGGAATTATCAATAAAATAAATGTCGTAGATATGAACAAATTATTAGAATGGTATGATCAAATATTGCTTATTCTAAAAGAGGAGAAAGTATTTGGATGCTTAACCAACCCAAATGAAATAGAACTAGAAGATGACTTTCAAAAATCCTTAAACAAACAGATTGATGATATTTTCTGTGATACCTTGATGTTGAAAAACGAAAATGAGGAGGTAAACGACATGTTTAGAGACAAAACTGCCAGAGAAGTATTTAAACATGTCAGAGAAGAAATTGAAAAAACTAGAATCCAAAAGAAGTCAGACAAATTCATAGATTCTGTAATTGACACCCGAATTTTACTGAATGAAAAACATGATTCGAGAAAAAGTTATTCAAATCCACTTATGATAAAGCCAACTCTTTCAAAACTGAAGGTAAGTATGGTTTAATTGCATCTGGAGTTTTAGGAATACTATTCGAATACAGACTTAGAGATGGGCCTCTACCATCTCCAATGGAAAAATTCAAAAAGTTGCTAATAAAGAAGATAGAATTTGAAAAATATATGGATGGAGGAATAAGACTAAGTGATCCAAAATTCAACACAGAAACCTTATTTGAATTTAACAATGATGATGAAAATTTTGCATCAGAAATTGGTAAAATCTACCACAAAAATTAGGCTTCTGTGGCGCTAATTGCTACTACTGAGGAAAAAGGTCCAACCATTGAAAAAGTATGTTATCCTCAAAAGGATTACTTCTTAGATCCTAAAATCTTTAAGGAATTTAGAGATCAGATGAAAACATTTCAAACTGATAAAAACCAATATAAAATTGATATAAAAATAAGTGGTAAATTTAGCATAGGAGAGCTTGCGGCTATTTATAATAAGGGTTCTAAAATATATATAAATAGCTGTTAGTTCTTCAATGCTGAATCTGTTCTAATGTCAAACAATGGATCTTAGTTGAGTTGTTTGTTTGTCTGGGGAGACAGTGGCATTGGGCCTTTTAGCGCCTGGTATGGCAAGCCTGATAGACTTGCTAGTCCTGTGAGTGTAAAATGTATTTAATATATATATATATATGTGAGATTCCGATCTGGTCTCTTTGAACAAGAAACCGTATTTAAAAAAAATGTATATAACAATCTTAATAGATAAGAATGTAAATTGTAGCCTTATCTTTATTAGGAGTTATAATTGTTTAATGGAGTTTCTCATGTTCCTTTTATAGATCATTTGGAGCATGTGAATATGTTGTCATCTTGAGTGTCACTATGTATATGAGGATAAATATGCTCATGAAATGTGACTTGCGAGTTGCATTTGCACATTCATATTTTTATTTGAGTGTGAATGTGCTACTCTTTTGGATCGAGGTACAGCAAGCTGCTGGAAGTACCAACAGCGACAGCGGTTATGCTAGAGGATTTACGGGACAAGAGAAGGCGAGATACTAGTACTAGTCAAGCTGAACTGGCTACATATAAGAGGGCAAAAAATATAGCTTCTGAAGTATACATCTTAAGGTTTAGCTCCCTATATACATCAATTTAAATATATCTGCCAGTTGTTGTATATTTATATATTCCATTTACCCTACAAATCAATCTGGCCCAAGCGTGTTAATCCCCAGTCTAAAAGGTCACGAGTCTCTATATATACGCCACCTGGATTGATAATAAATAAGTATTTAGTTAGCCTAAGAAACCCCAAATTAAGTCCAAATCTTTCAACGTTCTTAAGAATTCAAAAAATGGCTGACCCATCGGATAAACTTTCCTCAGCCACCCAATCAGACAGCCCACAGACTTCTCCATCGGATAATCTATCAGCCACTAGTGTCAGCAATTCAACTAACTCCACTTCCGTCTTCGATGAAGCGGTAGAACAATTCATAAGGTTATATGATGGGCCAGAGGTGAAAATAAAGTTTGATGAGATTGACGAATACTTTATGCATCGCAAGATTAAGGAGATCATCGATACAATTCCCCAATTAAGGATGGGTAATCTGAGAGAATGGTACAATATGACCTCCTGGATTCTAAGAGAAGATCCGATATTCAGGTGTCTGACTTGCCCTCATGAAATTGAATATGAAGATGAATTTCAATACGATTTGTGTCATCGGCTAAGTAAATTATTCTGTAATTCTTTGAGAATAAAGGCAGAAGAGGAAGAGGTGATCGACATGTTGCGGGGTAGGGATGCTAGATGGATTCTCAAACACATTAAGAGTAGAGTGGAGATGTTGGAACGGGAGAAAAGGGCCGAGAGATTTGACAGATCCATGATTGGTACGAGGTCATTAAGTGTCTCCAAACAAGAATCGATTAAAGATCTGTTTGAGAAAACACACACCGAAGGCAAAAATTTGGTGTATGCAGATGTATATGGCTTAATAGCATCTAGTGTGATCGGCGTAATTTTTGAATATAAAATGAAGGATGGTAACTTACCATATGCCACGGAGAGATTTAAGTATCTATTGCTCAAAAAGATCGAAGCTGAGAAACTAATCGATGACGGAAAGGCACTACTAAATCCTAAATATTACTTAGATCTGCTATTTGAATTCACCTACGATAATGTAAACTTTGCCTCCAATAATCCCAAAGTATTCCATGACACTGGTCGATCTGGTGCACCAATCTCTTCTCCTAATAAGAAGACCCCAATGAAGTTATCTCCAGGTGAAGAAAGAAAAAGGGAATTCCATCTAGACCCTGAAATCTTTGCTAGACTGAGAGACCAATGTAAAGATTTACCCTCTAAGAGAAATCAATTCCTAGTGGATGTCGAGTTAAAGGGGAAGTTTAGCATAGGAGAGATAGCAGCAATATACAAAGGAGCTAAGTTCTGTATATTTTGTAGGAAGCATCGTATAAATGTTTACCAACATAAATGTGGGGAATAGTAATTAGAAAATTTAGCAATTTTTGTTTTTAGTAATTAATAAAGATCTTAAACTATACCCCAATTTTTCAAGAGATAAGAATAATAAACACTTGTGAGTGCACGAGAAAGATGGTAATGAATCTAGGGAATGCTCCGATTGGGGCCCTCCATCAGGTACAAGATCAAGTCCTAGTAGTGAGATTGGCAAATGGTTATTCTAGAACCTGAGAGTAACCCAACAGTACATGAGACTACAAATGTTGGGAACATATCTTCTGCTACAGATAATCTAAAGGATAACGATTCACCCATTCAGATCAATTCAATAATGTTATGCATAAAACCTGAACTGTAAAAGTGAATCTTAAGAAACGTTCTTGATAGGTGATATTTCTTACCTATTGATGCTTGCCGGTCCCCTAATCCCAACTTGGGCCGTTCCCTTCTTTTTTCCGTAAACCCTCCATGATATAACCGCTGTCACTTAAAATTCACCGTTACCCTACTCTACGTTCCGGGAATCCAACAAAACCACTAAACTCTCAACTCACTAACCACGAACCAACATAAAAGGCCGAAATGCCTCTCGTATATCCCATCAGTGAGAAGAGCGAATTAATGTGACTCTTTTTGGAAGATGCCGATGGTTGTTTCAATTTAATTAACGCTAAAATTAATCATTTCGTGGTTCATGATGTATCAAGGCGGCTAGCTATGAAAGAGCAAGATAATGAGAAGTAGAAGGAAGGTGGGTGTGAAAAGTGGAGATTTCAATTAGTTATTTGTTTTGACACAAAAATAAATAATTAATATTGATATAACCTTCACCCCATGCACCCACGCACACAAACCACAGCAAAACTCAACAAATATGTCTCTAGCCTATGTTGGTTATATATACATAGTTACATTTCATTCTTTCCCACCAGGTAAATCCTCCATAAAAAAAGGTATATAAACCCCACGAAAAGCCACTTCCGACCACTCTGGGTGCGTATCCCAACGACAGTCGATTCCATCGACATGTGGTTGTGGAATAGCCGCCCATGAACACATATACACATCCACATTTCATTAAATCCCCCCAGATACTCGTGCACTCGCGCACTCACTGCAGTCAGTTACCCTCCAAACAGTGGCCCAAACACACAGGGTAACAAGGGCTGCCTTTTCCATATAACGTTTTCCCGAGTCACACCAGTCACTCCATACGCCAGCGCAAAACCTAAAATTTTCTGCAATTTTTTTTCTCTCAGGCCGTTCCATCCTGCCTCCCCCCTGTAAAACAGTACACAACGGACAGAATGACCAATCACTACGGTTGGTCCAATGAAATCCGACTGCGGATTCTCGTTAAAATCATTCGCTAAAAAAGTCATAACTCTGATTTTACCCGTATATATATATACACATACTCACATACATGTATATATATATTTGTATAAAGGATAACGTCCCATCCATCGTCTATAACAGAATTGGTACATTTGAGGAAACCGACTAGAATATTCTCCAGTCTCTCAAAAATATAAGGACAATCCACAAAACCAACAAACAGCCCTAAACAAATGTTCAGATTAAACAGCCTACGTGGAATCAACAGACGTCTTGTCGATGTCTCCACCAAAAGACTCTTCTCCAACGCTCGTCCTCGTCTCAACAAGTTGTCGACATCAGCAGAATCACAATTACTAACAGCACAAAGAGGTAACAGACCAATCTCCCCACATCTAACCATCTACCAACCACAACTGACCTGGTACTTGTCGTCAGTCCACAGAGTGAGTTGTATTGCATTGGGAGCCTGTTTCTACCTGGTCACGATCTCCTTTGGTCTGTCCAGTCTGTTGGGATTGGGTCTAACCGCCGACTCGTTTGCCAACTGGTACAACTCCTGGTCTTCCACTTCGCAATCTCTAGTGAAGGGTGCATTCTCCTACTTGTTTGCGTTCCAATTCACATTATCCATCAGACATTTCATGTGGGACATGGGTAAAGGGTTGAGCTTGAGCGGTGTTTACCGTTCTGGTTACACTGCCATGGCGGTTGCCACTGCTTTAGGTACTTACTTGTGGTTATAGTTATTATAAGTCTGTCCCAGTCCCAGTCCCAGTCCTAGCTCTGGCATCAGAGCCAGTTTACCCTGTCTAACTCTCAGTACATACTTTTCCTTCTATACTTTATTTGTGTGCCGTCTCGTCTCGTCTCAGACTGCAGTACATTTTTATTTATTTATTTATTTATTATAGTTTCGTAATACATGCGCGATAACGTGAGAAAGAGAAAAAAATTAATCTGTTTGTAAAACTTTTGTATATATCAAGAGCAAGAGCAAGAGCAAGAGCAATTGGTTACATATCAGTGGCACTGGTACAGACACATATTACAAACCGGATACAGAGAGAAGGATAATCGCCACGCCACAAATGAGCTTCAACAGGTTTAAAAAGAGACCGTTCAAGAAGGGGAAAGGCAACAGAGACAACAACGAGAAGCCAGTAAAGAGAAGCAGGTACCAAGGCAACCGTTCACAGCATCACCAGCCACAACAGCAACAGCAACAGCAACAGCAACAGCAACAACACCACAGTTCTAACAATTCAAGATACAATGTCGAACTGAACCTGCCAAAAGGCCCAAAAGGTGACGCAAATGTATCACGTTACAATCCACAACCACAACCACAACCACAACCACATCCTTCTCACAGTGCCGCCACACCGCTATCCGCCACCCCCTCAAGACCAATCCCCCCATCCTTCGTCGCAGATTCAAGATCCACCAGCGTCTACGACAAGACCGTCCAAGTCGGCGAGGGAACCTACGGGAAAGTCTACAAGGCAAAGAACCAAATCACCAACAGACTGGTCGCCCTGAAGAAACTGAGACTAGAATCAGAAAAGGAAGGCTTCCCAATCACCTCCATCAGAGAAATCAAACTCTTGCAGTCGCTGAACCACCCAAACATAAGCACTCTCACAGAAATAATGATAGAATCACAACGCACCGTCTACATGATCTTCGGCTACGCAGACAACGACCTCAGCGGTCTCCTTCTAGACAAGTCCGTCGTCCTATCTCCAGCCCATTGCAAACACCTCTTTAAACAACTGCTAAAGGGAATCGAATACCTCCACCACCATCATATCTTACACAGAGACATCAAAGGTTCCAACATCCTGGTGGACAACACCGGTAACTTGCGTATCACTGATTTCGGTTTAGCAAGAAAGATTAATCCAAACGGCACACGTGACTACACAAACAGAGTTATCACTCTGTGGTACAGACCTCCTGAACTACTTTTGGGTACCACTGCTTACAGTTATGAAGTCGACATGTGGGGGTGTGGCTGTCTTTTGGTCGAACTGTTCAGCAAATCTGCTCTGTTCCAAGGCCAAAACGAACTGGAACAACTAGACTCGATCTTTAAGATCTTGGGCACTCCAACTATCGACAAGTTCCCAAACCTATTCCAAATGCCATGGCTCTTCATGTTGCTACCGCAACTCTCGATTGTCACTCCGTACAAGAACTGTTTTGTAGACTCGTACTCAAACGTTCTTCCTTCTAGAAACTGTTTGGATTTGGCCGTTGGGCTCTTGGACTACGACCAAGCCAAACGGTGGTCCGCTACAGATGCCCTCGCCAGTGAGTATTTCACTGAGCTGCCGTTGCCGGAACCGTTGGTCTTGCGAAACCATGCCGGTTGCCACGAATACGAGGTCAAGTTGGCAAGAAAACAACAGAAACAACGTCAACAATCGGCAAACTGACTTGCATATTCAGATATACTAATTTGTACTATATCTCATCTCATCTCATCTCATTCCATCTCACGTCATATCATATCATATTATACTACATATACTATATCATTTATTATTATTCTACATATACTATATAGAGTTATCAAGCATTATTGTCATTATGATTCAACTTGTCTTGGAAGTATCGATCACTCCCGATGAACCAACTAGCACTCACTTTGCCCAGTTGGTCGACAATGTTGTTATTGCATTGGCGAGACATGACGTCCAGATGTTCCGTCGTGTTCAGCAGGTTATGTTGTAACAATTCTAACTGCTCCGCTAGTCGAGCATACTGTCTCTGTTTCGTAGAATTCATCCTGCCTATCACCTATCACTTCTCTCTTTCACCTTCTATCACATC